GGGTTTTGGGTTTGGGGTTTAGGGTTTGGGGTTGGGGTTTGGGGTTTGGGGTTTGGGGTTTGGGGTTTGGGGTTTGGGGTTTGGGGTTTGGGGTTTGGGGTTTGGGGTTTGGGGTTTGGGGTTTGGGGGCTATCTTCTGAATGCAGCTGAAGCGCAGCAAATGACATCTGGCCTTGGGAAGCTGGCGATGTAGGGGGTTCGGGATTTAAACCAAGGAATCGAGTCGAAACCCTAAACCCTAAACCTAAACCCTAAACCCTCGTTTGGCCTCCTAAACCCTAAACCCTAATCCCTTTTTTGTTTTTCATCTGGGCTGGGTAATGCCAGAAAAAGCAGCTGCTTGCACAACATTAAGCCCTAAACCGTAAGCCCTATAAACTCTAGACACTGAACCCTAAACCCCATTCTTCCCAACACGGGGTCTAGGGAAGCTGTGGAGATATCGAGGGGTGTCGCAGGGATGGGTCCTGCTTGTTGTTATAAGAGTCTATATACCTTAAGAACCCCCAAAACTCTACCATTTTTTGCAGGTTCCTTAGCCTATCGGAAGGGTTGGGTTTTTAAAGGTCGGGTTGTAGGCTTGGAGCCTCATGCACAAAGGCATGCAAGGCTGGTGCTCATTGGGTTGGGTTGATGTTGTGAAGGCTTCTGGTACCCCCGACACCACCTGGACGAATTGAAGCCCTAAACCCTAAACCCTAAACCCTAAACCCTAAACCCTAAACCCTAAACCCTAAACCCTATATAGATTGCTAGGGATTATAGTCGCATACCCGAAGAGCCCACTGTCCCTTAACTAGGGAATACTCCTTAATTCTTAGTTGTCCAGTACCTAGGGGCACTAAAGGTTAACCTTTTGGATTATAAGGGGATTCTACTACCCCAAAAAGGTTAAAGGTTACCTACTCTACTACTAAGAATTTGTATAGGGATCCTTAATATGATTTCAGGTACGGTTCATATGGGGGTTTCCGAAAGTCAGCCACCGTGTGTTTAAGGGAATCCTACTATTTGAGGGGTCTATTTTGGGGTCCCCGATTTTCGTAAACCCCCCTATACCGTACTAGAGATTATAGTCGTCTAGGGTATACGACCCCAATGTTCAGGTTCAGGGTTTAGGGTTTCGGGTCTGGGGTTTAGGGTTTAGGGTTGGTCCCCAAGGCATACGCTCCCACACTCGGCCTTCTTATCTTCGGGATGACAGGCCCAAAGCCTACATACGTTGCAGGTTCTCTCCGCAGCGGAGCTGTTTTGGATTCTTAGGTACTAAGCCTTAAACCCTACACCCTTGTGCAGCAGGCTTGCAGAATATCCCCAAACCCTAAACCCTAAACCCTAAAACCTAAACCCTAAACCCTAAAGGAAACAGTCTGGGTCTCATCAGGTACAGGACCCGCGAATTTGGCAGTGCAAGCCGAGACGCTGGATGCCATCCTCGAGGAGGTCACCCAGCAACGCCAGCCTGAGTCGGGTTTAGGGTTTAGGGTTTAGGGTTTAGGGTTTAGGGTTTAGGGTTTAGGGTTTAGGGAGGTAGGGTTTAGTGTTCAGTGTATACTGGGTTTAGGGTTTAGGGTTCTAGGGTCCAGGGTTGCTCTAAAAACTACCAGTTGCTCAAGAAGACCCCACCAAGAAGAATAATAACAAGGCCTTCCTTGGCTTTTTAAAGAAGCTACGCTTATTTCTTGGCGGCTTCTTCAGCAAACACTAGTACCCAAAGAGCCCAACATTCCCTTAATTAAGGAATATGCCTTAAATCATATTCAGGATCCCGAAGCAACATCAGCAATATTCCCAAAACCCTAAACCCTACACCTGCAACCCTAAACCCTATACCCTAAACCCTTCAAGGCATATCTACTAGGTGCGTAAGAACCTAAAAGAATACACACATTAATCCCCTATATTACCCTTACAAGGAAGAATATGTTTTGATTTTTGGGGGGGTTCTTAAGCAATATTACTAGACATAAACCCTTTTTGCTAAACCCCAAACCCTAAACCCTAAACCCTAAACCCTAAACCCTTGCACATTGGGCTCTTTGGGTAACTTCCCAACCCCAGGGCTCGGGGGCCCGGCGCTCTAAGCCACTGACTTGCGCGCTCGCAGGCCGCGGCAGTTGCCTAAAGTGAGCTCACTGTTTAGGGTTTAGGGTTTAGGGTTTAGGGTTTAGGGGTTTGGCTTTTCCCACACCCTAAACGGCCCCAATATAGGGGTCGGAATATTTACTCATAATGTTCCCTTTTGGTGCCCTTGTAATTATACTACAATACCCGCCCCAAAACCACATGTGGAGCTTTTGCCACACCCTAAACGGCCCTAAAAAAGGGGTCGGAGTAATTACTAAGAATGTTCCCTTCTGGCCCCTTTGTAATTATAGTATTATCACCCCCCCCCCCCCCAAAAAAAAAAAAAACTTTTCCCAAAACCCGGCATTCTAATTCTTCAGGCCCCTATATTAAACTCTGTAAACCGTAAGCTCGAACCAAGGATTTGCTCGTTCATGCACTCAGCTTCCAGCATTGAAGCTGATCACGTCAGCTGACACGCCTGGGGCAGCCTGCCAGGCGATTTGCGGTACCTTTTGGGGGGTTGAGGATGTAATCAAGAACTGGCGATAAATGCATTGTGTGTCTGTGCGCGCGTAAAGTTGCGCGGAAGCCTGAGCGACAAACATGATGATGCGATTTGCATTTACACTTTTTAGACATTGCTTTACCCTAAACCCTAAACCCTAAACCCTAAACCCTAAACCCTAAACCCTAAACCCGAACTTTGGGACTCAAGCATGTGAGGTTCGTTACATGTGGGTGCCTTTCTCGGCATCTTTTCTCACATGCGTCGCGTTCCCCTCGAGAAAACCACTCACCCTACAGCCTATCTTTAGTTGGAAACCCTTGTTACTAACCCTAAACCCTAAACCACCGTTTTGTTTGGATTCCAGCGGCCCAAGATCAAGCAAGGTACTCAATTCAGACTATCCCATGCATCGTGATGGCCCACACTCAAGCTGAAAAAGCCAATTTGTTCAGGGTTTAGAGTTTTGGGCTGTTGCCGTGCTTCAAGTCTTTATCAATTAGCTGCCGCAATGTTTGCAGCCATTGAGCCGAAACCCTCAACCCCAAGCCCCGAACCATTTTTTTGGAATCTCAGGGTACCTCCATGGTCGCTTAAGAATGGGCCTTTCTTGGGGACCCCTTTGTAAACGCCTTAGAATAGAACCTAAACCCTAAACCCTAAACCCTAAACCCTAAGAACCTCAGACCCCAACAGACACATGAGCAAGAGAGTCGTCCTGGTCCCGCAAGCGCTGCAGGAACCTTTCGGATTTGCGGCTGGGGGGCTAGACCCTAAACCCTAAACCCTATAAACCCTATAAACCCCATAAACCCCATAAACCCTATAAACCCTAAGAAGCCGATTTTATTGGGGGGAAGCTTGCATGCGCGCCTACGCCTTCAAAACATCTGCCTTTTTCAGGGGCTGATGTTCCATGCCAGAGCCGAACTGTGCTCGGGTTTGGGTGGGAGCATTGAACCTCTAGAACCAGTCAGGCCCGCCCGTGGTGCCGACCTCTTCAAACTTCTACTGTAATAATTACTAAGAGTATGCCCTTCTGGTCCCTATACAACTATGCCATGATCACCCACCAAAACCCTCTTCAACTTATTCAGGCCCCTATACTACTATTTGCTTAAGAACCACCATGAAAAACAGTACTCCCGATACTTCCCCGACAAAAAAATGTGAAGGCCCCCATACTACACTAGCTGCGTCTGGCCCAGGTTGGGGGGCGGGGCTGGAGGCCTGCCAAAATAGAAAATTTCTTATACGGGCAGTAGAGGGATGATTGTGAAGGCGCTTGTGCAAAAACAGGGTTTGGGGCTTAGGGTTTAGGGTTTAGGGTTCCCCCACTTCGTCGTCCAGTGTCCTAGAGAGAAAGAGAGAAGCTAGAGGTTTGCACCTTTCGGAGTTTGACACCCCAAAAGGTTAAAAAAGTTGCCTACGGCACTAGTATCTCTAAACCCTAAACCCTTTTTACAGCTAGGACTGCAACCCTAAACCCTAAACCCTAAATCCTAAACCCTAAGCCCTATTCTCACACGGTTTCGGTGCTTAGCTCTGCTGTCGAAGGCATTGTGGAAGAACACCCCAACAAGGGCGCGGCATCAATGACAAATCCCAGCGCATGCCGTTGCCACAGGCCTGGGTGGAGGGGAGGCTGACCGGGGAAGGGGGGTTTACCCTAAACCCTAAACCCTAACCCTGAACCCTAACATAGAACTAGCCATGAGCCTGCAGCGAGGAGCTTGCGCAAACCATGCTAGACCCTAAGCTGTTGTTTCAAGTTGAAGCAAACTCTTTAGGGCAAAGGGTTCATAGAGGATCTACAGAGGGACAATCTAAAATGAGCTAAGCAGCTTTCACCACAAGATTTGACCATGCAGATATTGATGTTCCCTCCGGCTGGGGCTTCAGGGGGGGGGGGTGGAGTTTCTTGCTCGTCGCTCTTCTGGGGATCAGGTCCTTGGGTCTTACAGGGGCTTTGGACAACGCTCACAACTTGGGAGCCTCCAACCCGAAACCCGAAACCCTGAACCCTGAAGCCTGAACCCTAAACCCTAAACCCTAAACCCTATCCCTGAAGGGCCAAACGAATGAAGCCATCCAAAGCCCGTCGCCGTGATGATGGCATTGTAGCTGATGGCGTCGGGCTTCGGAGGCTTCACCTGGGGAAGAGCTCGAGGGGTTTAGGGTTTAGGGCTTAGGGTTTCGGGTTTACCACGCTAGAACAACAACCTGAACTTGGGTTTCATATGGGGAAGTCATACCCTGCGCCTGCATTTTCTTTTGAGGGGCTATAGACTTTCAAAGGCCCCGTCGCAAGGCGGCGCTGCGCTGCATAGATGATGCTTGGAAGCTTTCTTGGTTTGGTATAAGGTATATGAACCGGAAGAAAACAGCACTCTTGCATGTTGTGTGACATAAAGAATGGCTCATGTGGTCCACCAAGGTCATTGCACCCCAAACCCTCAGGAATGTGCACCTTACATCTTGTGTTGGGCTGTTTGGGTACTACCCCTCCTAGGTTCCCTTAGCACGGCTTACCTATCCCGAAATCGCCTGAATTATCGGGGGAACCTGGGGTGTGTGGTCCTGTTACTTGGGGCGGCTTGTGCTGTGCTGCTTGAACGTGGACTGGAACTTCTGACGCCTCGCCTGCTCGTCGAATCCCTGAGCTTCGCGTTCGGGCGCTGTTTGATGTCGTGCCTAATGGGGTTGATCTTAAACCCTAAAGATATGACCCCAACTTTACAAATTTAGAGTTCGCTAGGTCACCAAACTGCTTTCAGAAACCATCGCCCGTGGCAATGCCTGGAGACGGCCGCTGGTGTCCGCGCCCTCTTCCAGCTCCTTGCGCGCCATGCGTGGATGGATCAGGGAAGTGCCCAAGTCTGCTGAATCTCGACTTCCGCCCGAAAAAAACTCTCGCCCCCCGCCCCCCCGCCCCCCCCCCCCCACACACACTCTAAACCCTAAACCCTAAATCCCAAACCCTAAACCCCCTGAAGGGTCCTTAAGCACTTCCAGGGCTTCGTCCCACTTGGCTCCTCGCGGTCGCGTGCCGCCCCTATGGGGAATAACAAGTTTCCAAGTCGAACCCTATACTTCGAGGAGATTTAGGGTTTATAGGGCTTATAGGCTTTATAGGATTTATGGGGTTTATGGGCTTACAGGGTTTATAGGGTTTAGGTTTAGGGCCCTAAGAATTGTGCTACCAGGACCTTTAAGGACACAATACTTAGGTCCCTGGAAGTAGGGAAGGTAAAATTTGCTTTGGGATTGGGGGGGGGGGGGGGGGTAAGGCTCGCTGGCATTTATGCAGAGTCTATGTATGTATTCAATTTGTGTGCTGTGTTTTGTTTTGTTTTGTTGCGGGGGGTTATGAATCTACTTGCCTGTTTTAGGTTCAGGATTCCGTGCCCTTGCTAGGTGTTCGGCTTTCTGCTTCGTGGGGTGAAAGCTTTCAAAGGCACCAGTAGGCTCATGCTAAGGGTCCATGTAAAAACTTGGGCACAAGAGTCCCTAAATAGCAGGTACATTTACGGCTCAAGTATTCCCTATTTAGGTACGTGGACCCTTAGGGTTAGGCATCCAAGAAGTCTGCTCGGGCAACCCTCCCCCTTCCAAGTCCCCAAACAACAGGCAGGGGACTTTGCACTCAGCATCCCATACTTCATACCTTTTGTGAGGGCGCATCATGGTTCAAAGTCCAGACATGGCTCCTCAAGATGTAACTTCATCTACAAATTACCCTGATCAACCATGGCCTATAGGGCCTGTATTCTACGCGTATTAAAATCCCAGAGCTTGAATGCTATTTAGCCGAAAGCCTGTTTCGGCTCCTTTCTCGCTGGCACTCAATGTGGCCTGGGAAAGGCAGGCTGACATGCGGTTTAGTGCCCTTAAGCCCTATATAGATCCCTGGAACCCTGAACCCTGAACCCAATCCCAGGACCAGGGGTTTCGACTCGGGTACCCAGGAGTTGGGGACCAAATGAGCCCTAAAGTTGCCTATACCACTCTAATCCCCTTGAAGGTAATGCTATCCATAAAACCCCTGAATGGCGAATTTGGCTCCCAACCGGGTAGCTCGAAGTACGCAGTTGGATCGGACGGCTTGGCTTGAGATAAACGGATTTTCCAGGGAGATGTTAGTCTTCAGGGCGTTTCAATGGCCTCTAGAGTTGCAGGGCCTTTGATTCTGAGCAAGCGGTTCTTGGTTGTTGTTTGCGGGTTTAGGGTTTAGGGTTTAGGGTTTAGGGTAACAAAAAGCGCACCAATCTATCTTTCACGGTGCATGGCATCTCGGAGAGCAACCGCCCGTATGCAAAATCTCGGCCCAGCCACGTTGTAGGCTGTGAGGTCAGGCGGCAAACCCTCCTCGCCAGGCTTGTGTCGGAATTCTCCTAAGGTGGGGGCTACTTCATTCTAAGCAGTTATGCAAGTGTTTCCCAGAACTACTTATGTCCATTTCATAGACATAAGTTGTGCGTCGCAAGTGAAACAAGAGCGATTTCATGTTGCTCTCGCTATGCAAGGAGAGAATATTGGGGGCTGCTATTTGCTTAAGAACCCAAACAATCCCTATACTACCCTCATAAGGAAGAACATTTTTCTATTTTTGGGTGCTTGTTACGCAAATAAGTAGATTACGGTTATTTTTTTTGGTGTTTGTTACGCTTATATAAGCATATCAGGGGATTATTCGTGTGTTCAGGGTGCTCATCGGGTGGTGGCGCAACCCAGCCTTCCCAGCACAAAGCTGGCAAACAATTATACGGCTTTGATGCCGGGAGGTTTAGGGTTTAGAGTTTAGGGTTTACGGTTTAGGGTTTAGGGTTTAAGGTTTAGGGTTTAGGGGACTCAAGGAGGCTAATTCTCAGGATTTCAGCTTCCTTCCTGGGCCTTAAGTGGTGGAAACTTCGCGCCCCTCACCAAGTGCAGCCGCGAGCTGACCCTAAGGATGCAGGGGTGGCGTCACACATGAAGCAAGCTTACCTGAACAATCCCTAGGGTTCAGGATTTAGGATTTAGGGTTTCGGGCACGAAGCAAGCTCGTCTCAACCCCAAAGAGATCCCCAACAACCCAGATGCAGCGCAGTTCCCATGAATAAGTCAATGTGAGAGATTTTAGGAACCCCAAACCCCCAACCCTAAACCCTAAGGACCCTAGGCCTCCATCTGAAGAAACCAGACTCTTCTATGCGACCCACCTCAGTCTTCAGCCGCCCGAAGAGACGAAACGCCTCCTGAAGGGGAAGGGTTTAGGGTTTAGGGTTAAGGTTGTCAGCTACGTGGCCCCACTCTTACCTTAAGGACGACATGAAGCCTAGAAGGGTTTATGGTTCATATACATTAATAGGGATTGTAGTAGTAGTGGGTATCTGACCCCAAGCTTAGGGTTCATTTGGTCTCCGCTCATTACAAGCACTCATCAGAGCGCTGTCCGGGTTTACACCTGGGACTCGATTTACCCTACAGTTCAGCAGTAGGTATAACCCATATAAAACTGTGAGCAAGAAAGTCCCTCTCCATGTTTGGGACTCATGGGGGCTTTCAGTAGGGCATGATCCGGTATAGGAGACACGAAGGGCAATGCTCGTAAGCCGGTGCGCTGTGGGGTAAAGGTTTCTTTGCTGAAAAGGCTGACAGGCCTTCAGCTCCAACAATGGACCTGCGATCTCAATCACCACAGGCAGGTTTACAATAGAGTTGCGTCAGATGCACCTGCATTTCTGATGTGCCAAACAAACCGTGAACCCTACAGTAGATCACGAAGCCACATGAAAGCGGAGGTAAAATCAGCCCTTGCGTCCTGCCATAGGCCGCCCTGCTCACAGGCCCGTATGGCCTGCATGCTTTGCACGTACATTGTGTTTCTTGGGTGGATTTAGGGTTTAGGGTGGCCCGCAGGGCATGAGGGTGCTGACGAATGTCTCCCCTGCCTGAATTGGGGGTCTTCGCACACTCAAGCTGTCTCAAAGCCCCTGGACGCGACCCCAATCGTATCTTAAGACCTAAGACCAAAAATGCAAAACCCTAAGCCCAAGACTTCCCTAAGCACATCCTAAACCCTGCAGCCCTACAGTCAAGGGTTTATGGTTTAGGGTTTAAGCTCAAACCCTCGCCCTCCAGAACAAAGCATGTGGGAGGCCCCCGCCGCAGTAACGGCTGGGACGCTGGGCTGCACCTTCGCCGCCTCCATCCTGGGCCGACGAGGCAGAGTAAGGTGAGCACTGGATTTTGGGTTTCCCGAACACTCCAAACAGCCCGAAGCAGGTATTATTTACAGACTTTAGTAAACTTAGACCCCAATGTAGCTAGTATTATTTCTATACTTGGAGCCCTAGGGTTTGGCGGGTTTAGGGTTCCGGCATGAGGGTTCAGGGCTTAGCTGGGTTTAGGGTGTCGGGGTGAGGTTTCAGGGTGTAGCTGGGTTTAGGGTCTAGGTCTAGGGTGTTGGGGCGGGCGGGGGGGAGGGGGTTCTTAGCTTGCCCATAGGTACCGCCTGCTTTGGTTGAGCTACTTAGGCATCTAATTTGCCTCGCCCCGCACTAGATGTACCCCCACAGTTGGGATCACGATTCCATACTGCACAGATGCTCAAATACGTAAACCCTCTAAAAACCGCCGCGCGACTCACTCCCCAAAACACGGCAAGGGAGAAGGCTCCTGATATGGCGACTGGGTCACCCAACACAATCGAAAATCAAATTCCCGCAGACTATCGTCTAAGCCGCGCAAGAACCACTCAACCCCGGGCCCGATAAACCCCAAAGCCCAAACCCTAAACCCAAACCCTAAACCCCAAACCCTAAACCCAAACCCTAAACCCCAAACCCCAAACCCCAAACCTTAAACCCTGCAATCGACCATCCCCGTGGCTGGCGCATTAACGGCCTTTCCCACCCCTCGGTCCCGAGCTCTTTCAGGAACTTGAGGGCCTCCACCGCAGCGCGAGTTTCAGGACCCAATCGGGTCTAAAGGGCTTAGGGTTTAAGGGGTTTAGGGTTTTGGGGTCTAGGGTCTTAAAGGGTTTACAGGGTTTAGGGCCATGTGTTTGTCGATTATCCGATACCCTCTCGCAGAAGCAGAGTGGTCAAGCCGCTGTCTCGCGAAGGCACCTTGAGCGGCTCGCTGCACTTTCCACAAGCCTGGGCCGGTCCATGCACCATACGATTGTATACTTGGGCCCAAACGTAAGGCCCAAGTATTCCCCGATTTAGGTCTATGGATCCTTGGGGTAAGTGGCCAACTTCTCAACTTGTGGGCCACGGGGGGATGTGGGGAAGGGGGGCGCAGGATGTCTTATTGCTCCCCCCCTGCCTTGCAGGATTGCGCCACGCAAGCTGGAGCTCTTCTGCGGCTTTGGGCGACGTATCAACTCTGCTTGCAATGATGGAACGAAGTGTTTCGGGTTGCGACGCTTAAGGTCTTGTCCACCGGCCTAGCACTTGCGCACACTGCGGGGACTTCTTCAAACCCTGAACCCTAAACCCTAAATCTAAATCCTAACCCTAAACCCTAAACCCTAAACCCTAAATGACGGATTTGGGCGTTGGGATTCGTCGAGGCTACGCAGGCTACCAAGGCTACCAGGCACATAGCACACAGCGCCAGCAAGACAACACTCGCGACCCAAAAGGCCAAAAACCTGAACTTCATCATTACACCTTGTGATGTTCCCCCGTAGACGAACAGTCCTTAACAGGGATGACCCTAAACCCTAAACCCTAAACCCATTATAGAAGAGGGGCTATTGTCATGGTTACCAAGGACTGTTAGTATAAGGGGCAACATCCCAAATTCCACCCTCCGCCTTCTTATAGGGCTCCAGGGGCCGCAGAGCCCCGGATTTAGGGTTTAGGGTCTGGGGTTTAGGGTTTAGGGTTTAGGGTTTAGGGTTTGCGGTTTAGGGTTGAGGGTTGAGGGTTTAGGGTTTAGGAAATCGCAACCGAGCTCCCGACGGCGATAAGGGAGCCATAGGTGATCGCAGTGGGCCTCTCTGATCTCTAAGTGTAGTTTAGGGTTTTAGGGTTTCATGGGTTTCATGGGCTTCTTGGGCCTTTAAAGGGATTTAAAGGGGTTCCTCTGTAGTAGCTTTAGAGGCCAAGTGCGTCCTATATAAGGGTAGTTTCATGGGCTTCTTGGCCTTATAAAGGGGTTCCTATTTAGTAGCTTTAGGGGCCAAGTGCATTCTATATCAGGGTAGTTTATGGGCTTCTTGAACCTTTGAAGGGATTTGAAGGGGTTCCTCTGTTGTAGCTTTAGGGGCCAAGTGCATTCTGTAGAGGTACATGGGCCCTTTGGGCTTGATTCTTGAGAACCCTCCAAGGGCAGTTCTCCTGGGCCCTTTATTTTGTCTTGGGTATATAAGGGGTATATAAGGGGCACCCCTTTAAGGGCCTCTATTCAGGGACCATGTAACTATACCCTTAGGTGATAAGGCCTGGGTGCTTCCGGCATCGCAGGGGAGCACAATCTACTTCTTCAGGCGCTTCAAGGCACTGGCATTTACTTGGGTTTTCGGGGCGGGGGCATGTCTGTGAGATGAGTCCATGGAAGATGCCGCCCCTGTGCCTTAAACCGCAATCTGTACACCCACAACCCGCAACCCTAAACCCCAAACCCGAAACAACACAAATTGCCCAGCAATCCCTGCAGCCCTACCGGATCCCCCCACCTTCTGCCCCCCTCTTCATATATCAAAGGATGCTACTAGCACTATACCATATTACATAGACAAGGTCTCGGGCTGCCACCCACCCCCCACCCCTCCCCCCGGGGTAGGGCCCGGGAGCCCGACGCCAGAAACCAGCTTGCCTCTAATCCTAATTGCGATACTGCGCCCTCACCATGCAACTACATAGCCGACTTGTGATGACAGCGAGTGCAGCACAAGCTGTGCACCACATAAACAATATAATAAAGAACCAAAACAAAAACAAACGAGCTCCACAACGAGAATGCGTAAAAACCTGCTACGGGTTTATCATGAACCGTTTATGGCTTCGGGTCTGAGTATGGGCGCCTCAGCCCCTCTTGCTGCAGCTGGTGCAAGGCCGCCACACCATCGGCCCAGCGCAGACCCTGTCCAAGGGGCGGCGAGGGGGGGACGCGCGCGGCTGTCAGTGGGCCAGAGCACGCCCCAACAAACAAAATCATCCCCTCGCCAACCCCCCCCAAGCTCCAGCCTCCCCCAACAAAAAGATACTGACAATGCCCCATATAAACCCTAAACCCTGAACCCTAAACCCTAAACCCTACACACCATGGTTTTCAGATGTGTTGCTCGCTGCTTCCGCAAGCATGGCGCTTGCATCCCAATCCGTGGAGACCGACCACCCAGTCTCACGATCCTATAAGGCCTTGGCAGCCCGGCATCCATGTAAGAAGAAGGGTTCAGGCTAGTAGGATCCCCCCAACAAACCCTAACGGTTCCCGAACGGCCCAAGTAGCCTGTGTGCAAAGGCTGATGAAGGTGTTGTAGGTGACGGTGTTGGGATGCACCTGGGGCCCTAAACCCTAAACCCGAAAGGGGGGGGAGCCGCAAGCTACGGAGGCTGCAATTCCCGGATTCGTGGCGCATGAGGGATCCCAAAATGTAGCTAGTCTCAAGCAGCCACCTGAAGAAGCGCGAATGGAGGGTTTAGGGTTTAGGGTTTAGGGTTTAGGGTTTAGGGTTTAGGGTTTAGGGTTTAGGGTTTAAGGTTTAGGGCCTAGGGTTTAGGGTTATATGTGTATATATATATATATATGCACTATATGTATTTCTATATTCCTATTCCTGAAAATGACGAGCAGAAAACATTGCAGAATAAATCAGCTCGTACTCCTGGCGCAGAGCTTGTTTTGGCCTAACCCATGCAACCCCTCTTCTGCTTGTTGCTGTTTATCGAAACATTGGCCAGTGCTCCCGTGAGGATGGTGAACACGATATCACACCATGATAGCGATGCTCCATGTCCTCAACCCTAAACCCTAAACACCTAAACACCTAAACCCTAAACCCTAGGCCCAAAAAACCCTAACCCCCAAACCCCAAACCCCAAACCCCAAACCCTAAACCCTAAACCCTAAACCCTAAACCCTAAACCCTGCGCCCTTGCTGCTGTTCACCCTGGGGACTCCCTGAGCTGTCGACGGCTTCGTCTCTCCTGGGCACCAGAATTGACACGCGGTTCCAGAATTCAGGGTTCAGGCTCTGGAGTCCGATCCCTAAACCCTAAACCCTAAACCCTAAACCATAAACCCTAAACCCTAAACCCTAAACCCTAAACCCTAAACCCTAAACCCAATACTAGACCAGCCTAGAACTCGGCACACAGAGACCACCACCCTTCTGCTCTTCCCTAAGGGTCCATGTACCTGATTCTTATATACTTGGGCCCAGAAGGCCCTAAATAGGAGGCACTTTAAGGCCCTAAACCCTAAACCCTAAACCCTAAACCCTATTTAGGTACATTCACCCTTTGGGTTTTAAGTTCCGAGGCTCATCTGCCCAAGCAGCCCAAAGCCTGCCGGCCACTGGCTGCCTTGTAAAAAAAGGCGCGTTGGCTACTAGGGTTTAGGGTTTAGGGTTTAGGGCTAGAGGAAATCCTCTTGTGCAAGTTGCAGTATAGTTATATGAATAACAAAAACAACCACAAGCACCAGAATGAAAATAACACCATATATTAATAACAGGAATAGACACATTAGTGTGTTTTCTTTTAAATATTGATGTGTTCTTACATCGGTATGTGATTCTGTGACTATGCTATTGTATTCGTGCATGCATGTGTTTGTGCAACCCCTTTGCAGTGTAGCCCTCAACCTCAGCTCCTCAAGTATCTCAATATGTGGCCGTTCACGTAGGCTTGGGAACTTATGTGGTCGAGTATCTTTGGTAAGACTTTGCTTGGTGGTACTTTGGTCGCATGCACCAGTGCTAGACCCAAAACTCCCTCAGCATCTTTCAACCCTCAGTTGACCCTAAATTATGAGCCATCCCATGCCTGAGCGAACAGTCATTTCGAAGAGGTTGATAGTCTTTTGAGGGCATTGTTGTTTGGGCTCACGGCGCGGTTAGCGGCCGTGGGCGAAACGCTAATTTTACAACTTTTTCGGGGGGGAGGGGGGGGGAGGGGGGGGGTTGGTTGCGGGCATGTCTTCACGCTTCTTCTTCCTTGCTTCTGGTTCAGATAGCCTCTGTTTCCTTGCCGTGTTTTATGTACACTCTTCTAGTCTACAGTTCCAGCCTTTTACATGCACTCGTCTGGTCCAGCATTGACAGTTCCAGCCTTTTACATGCACTCTTCTAGTCCACACTTCCAGCATTGACAGTTCCAGCCTTTTACACGCACTCTTCTAGTCCACACTTCCAGCATTGACACAGAGAAACGTACTTGCAGAGCTTCTGTTCGACGGTTGCGTGAATCTCTATTTTGTACACCCTTTGCATCAGTGCCGCCTCGAATGGGGCCCACCTGGTGCGGACCTTGAGATGCGCCGTGCCTTTGTCTTCGACCCTGAGCCTCAAACCGCCGAGGAAAAGAAAGAGGGAACGACCGGAAAACCACAGCACCCTAGGCTATACCACAAACCCTTAACCCTATACCCTGACAATCCAAAACCTTATATGCTAAGCCTGGGGAAGCGGTTAGGAGAGCGAGTGCGAAGACCCAAGGACCCAAACAACCACAAAACACAGAACCGCAAAAACACAGCAAACGCGCAAAAACCTACTCATAATACGATGATGAGAACATACTCAAAACACTGGCAGGCGTGGTACTTTTGACTACAACAATGCCTAAGATTCACTGCAAGTTAACAAAAAAAGACGTCTCCGAAAAACACGTTTCAACAGCGAAACACTGTCCTGCGTGGGTTAAAACCACAGTTTGGTGTGCTTTTGGCCCACGGCCGCTAACCGCGCCGTGACCTTGTTTGGCGTTGGTGTATGAGGATTTAATCCCTTCCCCCTAATACTAAATCCCTCCCCCCCCCCCCCCCCCTAGTTCTGAAATTCCCCTGGGCCCGAAAAATAGGTTAAATTAGGGGGGGTTTAGAATTAGGGGGCAGCGAATATGAGGACTAGGGATCTGAGGCGGGGATGGGGGTACTTCACCGCTGAAATTCGGCTTTCCTGGTTCTCCCAGTTCAGAGATCCTTGGTAGCCCAGTAACCAACATGCAATGGTGAGGTTGGTTGCTTTCTATAGGGGATACCGGGATACCAGCACCCCAGAAAAGGGCAAACTGGCACCGCTGGGCTACCTCAAGGATCCTTAGCTCCATTATATTTATATTTAGACACCTCTTTCTAATTCAGCCCTCAACCCTAAACCCTAAACCTCTAACTTTCCCGCAAGAAAATAAACAAACTCGGCTGTCGGGCCAGGGCACCCTGCTCGCAAGCCTTCAAGGCCAGAGAGTAAGTGGCCACGTTGGGGCCTTGGCCATATGGGGGGGGGAGGTTTAGGGTTTAGGGTTTATGGTTTAGGGTTCGGGGTTTCTAAGGGGTTTTGGGGGTTTAGGCCTAAAGGAGCTGAGACCAAATCAAACCGTAGGCCCAAAACAGGGCTCCCCGTGTTTAGGGATCATTTGCGGAAGGGTATGGGGGGGGGGGGGGGGGGTGCCGCCCAAAAAAGGGAGCTCAAATAAACGGGTCTCAAGCTCCGAGATGCAACCTCTGATCATATACTTCCGAGCGTAAAACCCTAGGCACAGTGGGCGTCTTTTGCTGCGCTGGTCCTCCCTGGCTCTTTCTGCCACGCGCAATGTGTACAGAATGCATCAGTCAGAGTCTGAGATGGGATGGGAGTTTGTTCTACACAGTTCCTCCATGCGAAGCACTGTTGCACATGTAGACCCTAAACCTTAAACCTTATAATTATAAGCCCGAAACCTTGGGATGTTCCCCCTTATACTAACAGCCCTTAGTAGGGATTATAACAGGTGTACTACAATTCAGGACAGCTAGTATAAGGGGGAACATCCCAACGTAAACCCTAGGCTACTTGGAGGTTCATGGTACTTAGTAACCAATTATAACTGTACTTCTAACCCAAGTGATAACTATATTAGGGCACTTAAGGGACTTCTAAGTACAGTTATAAGTACAGTTATAATTGGTTACTAAGTACCATGAACCTTCAAGTAGGGGCAGGTGGGCGTTCGTTGGCTCCCTCCAGCCACCTCCGTCTGCCCCTCAGAGATCCTCGTCCACATCGTCCGCTTCGTCTTCGTCTCTCTCTGGGAATTCCTGCAGCAATGTTGGCATCACATATATATATATATATATACAAATGTATATGACACACACGTAATAAATATACAACATAGCAGATATATATATATATATATATATATACATACACACATACACATACTGTCACATACATTTACATATACATATACGTATACACATACGAATATGCACTTATAGCTTCCTGCCGAAAATAGAAGGGGCATATTGGGTAGTTTACGGAGATGACAAGATAGGTAAGTATTGTGCTGCCGCATGGCTCACGTTCTCCGAACAAGGCTGAGCAAGGAGAATATATATATCGCGGTTGACCAGCAACCAGATAATAATAAGGGTACCCTTTTTGGGTTGGGCACTCTGTAAAGAAACCCAGAACCAAACAAAGTGACCACCATGCTACGAAGAAGTCAGAAACCTAGGTGCCAACGGATGCTTTCCTAGCATTGATGGTCTGCCGAACCGGGTCGTGCAGAACGATAGCTTGAAGCACCACAAGAGCCCAATATCCCTTGATTTCAGGGAATACTCCTTCATTTATAGGGATCCTTCATATGATTTACATATTCCTTAGTTAAGGGGTACTTGGGCTCTTTGGGCAACTTGTGGCTAGGCCTCGTAGCTACAGCCTCTTGCTCAGGAAGCGACCGTGAATCCTCGAGAAACTAGGATGGCCCTCAAAACCCTCTGAAAAAATATTCCTGAATCTGATCCTCTTAGATTAGCCCACTTAGGGAAAATAGAAAATGTCCCAAGGGCCTACCTAGGAAAAGCCCCAGATGGGACTGTGTTCGTCAATTTGCCGCCAAGGGTCATCTTCCGGACAGAGTCCCGTGGCACGGAAACAGACCCATCCTCGTTGGCAGAGGCTTGCTGGTGGTGTCCCCGTGCGATCTGGGTGTTTAGTGCCATGTTGTCTGCATCATCACTTGCAGCCTGCAGACTTCAACTACTGAAGGACCCACACAAACTGAGCTGAGGGAAGTTGAAGATGAGAGGATGAAATTACGCGACTTCCATATGCAGAGTACGAGCACCGAAAGATTACCCAGATCTGCCAAAAACCCTTAATTTAGGAATATACCCTAATTCATAGACCCTTAGAATAAACTAGGGAATAGACCTTCATTAAGGGGTTTTGGGAGATCTGGGTAGTTATTGCGGAGGCTGCTCGGTCTGTAAAAGCCGTGCTCACGCGGAACTCATCCACCTCCTCAGTGAACCTGGCAGACCGACATATGATGCTCTGAAACCCAAGAAGTGAAAATATAAACTGTTTCAAGGGCCTACCTAACTGGCTTTGGGCTGATGACGATGTTGCATTCAGGAGCAAGACAGAGACTAGCTGTTGGTTAGCAGGGAATGACGGAATGAGGGCCCTATATATACCCTTTAAGGGATTATACAGGGCACCTCATTCCCCACGAGGCCCTACTAACCAACAGTAAGGAGAAGAAAAGCACACAAACCAAGCATCACCAGATTCTGGGATTCCGAAGCGCAGCCCAGGAATGGTTTTGTGATCCTGAACCCTAAACCTTAAACCCTAAACCCCAAACCCTAAACCCCGAACCCTAAACCCTAAACCCTAAACCCTAAACGCCTCTTAGGGCCTTAGAGCCTTAGGGTGCCAAGGCTAAGGAGACCCGCCTGTAGCTTCTTGTCAGCACCTCTCCTCAGATGGAGCAACTCCAACTACAGCTTATGTTAACCTAAGGGTTTAGGGTTTAGGGTTTAGGGTTTAGGGTTTAGGGTTCAGGGTTTGGGGTTTGGGGTTTGGGGTTTAGGGTGGGGGGTTATGGGGGGGTAGGGAGTACGAGGGAAGCAATAACTATGCAAACTGCCCCAAAGAGTCCAATATCCCTTAACTAGGGATTCCTCAATCTATATTGGGAGCCTTAATATGATTTCAGGTCTTTGGGCATGTATGTCTATACATATGTATATCTATATGTAAAGAAAGAGAGCTAGAAATGCAGTAATACATACATATATATATATATATGTAGAGAGAGAGGGTGAGAGCAATAGAACTTAATATTCATGATTTTAAAAAGGGAATTATTGGTACAATACTATCATAATTAGTAATGTTAGACCCAGATTAGTGGGGGCCTCCTCTTTAAAGTCAATTTGGCCGAATTATTCAGGATCTCGTGACTGTTGGCGGGGTCCTCTTCAAAGTCGAACCGTCCGGGCGCCGTAAGAAAATTCCACGTGGCGCGCCTTTAAAAAAGATAACCGGGCATCGCTGCCCCTTTGAAACCTATCTAAACTCCTCCCTATTGAAATCATATAAGCCTCCGGGGCCGTGTAATCAGGCTCCCATCCACGCCTCGACTGTCCAGGGGGGGGCGGGGGGGCCCCCCACACTAATCAGGGTCCAACATTAATTATCGTAAGAAGAATGAGAAACAAGTCCTCGAGCGAGCGTGATCCCCGACAGCTCATTGCTGCGGAGGTGCGAATGAGGCCACCCGACTGAACATGACATCTGGCTCACATTATGTTTCATGGGTTTCCCTACTACCCCCCTCTGTACAACTTAAACCAAGGGGAGGTAGTATAGAGGGGGTAGTAGGGAAACCCTAAACCCTAAACCACAAAAGTGGCGGCGGTTCGAAACTTGACTGGGACCTGCTGCTTCTGCGGTACCTTTGAATGACTCTTCCTCTAAACCCTAAAGCCTAAAGCCTAAAACCTAAAGCCTAAAGCCTAAACCCTAAACCCCAAACCCTAAACCCTAACCCCAAACCCTAAACTCTAAACCTTCCTCTACCTGGCTTTGGCAAGCCACCATCCAACCAGCCCAACTCCAAGTCAGCACCAGGCCCGTGTTTAGGGCTTTAGGGTTTTCGGTTTTTGGCTTTTAAGGTTTAAGGTTTGAGGGTTTGAGGGTTTGAGGGTTGAGGGATTCAGGGTTCAGGGTTAAGGGTTCAGGGTTTAGGGTTTCGGCTTCGCAAAGCTCCCATGGGAAGCAGCAGTTCGACGCCCTTCTTCTTCCATCACTGCGGCCCTTCAGCTGTGAAATTCTAGGGCCCCCCCAATACTCCCTACTACTCCCTAAGGCCTAAGGCTCCCTAAGCTTCCCGAAACCCCAAACCCTAAACCCTAAACCCTAAACCCCAAACCCTAAACCCTAAACCCTAAACCCTAAACCCTAAACCCTAAACCCTAAACCCATCAAAGCGGCCTTTCAGCTGTGGGAGGATCGAGTCGCAGGCTGAGACTAAGCTGTCGATGACGGACCTCGGAGGAGCTGAGCTTTGTGCTTTGGAGGTTCTTGGGGTACTTAGAACCCCAATTGTAAGGTTTAGGGTTTAGGGTTTAGGGTTTAGGGTTTCGGGTTTAGGGTTATTAACATGATAAGTCTACTTCTAACCTGCTTAGAGGACCGGGGGGCTTGAAAAAGTACAGTTTGTCCTACTCAGGGACCTTGCCAAGAACCCCCTGGGACGGTCCAAAAAGTAGAGCCCCCCAAAATAGAACCCTAAACCCTAAACCCTAAACCCTATACTACCCTGTACTACTGTTAGGTCATTCGGGTCATTCTTAGGAATCCTTAAAACGGACCTACTTTTTAAATCCTCCCCAGCGGTTACTAACCTGTAGAACGTTGGGGGCAACACACACCCAGTGGCTTAGAAACATTCCCCCAGCTCCAAGGGCCTACAAGTTGCTCTAGAACTCGATATCAGAGTGTCCAAAAACCATGGCGCTCTGGCGAAGGTTTTTTTCGGAGGGCAACCCGGAGCATGCCAGAAGCCAACAGAAATCCTCTCCTACCTGCGCAGGGACTGTCTCGGACCTGCTCCCTGGTAAGAAGGCTGAGCCACTCACCACAGCAAAACTTCATCCATAGGGTTTAGGGTTTAGGGTTTATAGGGTTTAGGGTTTAGGGTTTAGGGTTTAGGGTTTAGGGTTTAGGGTTTAGGGTTTAGGGTTTAGGGTTTAGGGTTTAGGGTACTGTTCTACCGACTGGGGCGCAGGAACCGAGCCAGGTCTCCACAGGCAAGCCTATGCAAGCTGTCCGGCTGGCAAGCACTAGACGAGCTCAAGCCACTCTAGAAAATGCAAGGATCATGTGCATCTGCACAGTCTTCCGCGAACGCTTGCTGAGCGGGTAGAGGGGGTTGCTGATGAAAGCCACTGGTCGATCCGAAAGCCCACGGGCTCTACATGGGCTGCG